AAACCAAATGAGAGTCTATGTGGTTAAACTCACTCTAAATTGACCAGAGACTCGAGATTCTCATAGTCCTATTTCCCCCATTCGATAACGGTTGGACTCTCAAACTGGTTTTTTTGGAGAGTTTTCTTTTAAAAGATATTCGATGATCAGCAATCAGTATAGTGTAGATCTCGGTGGTCGCCCGATCATTCAGATAAACGTCAGTCATGCATTCGATTTGAAGTTCAATCATGTTTTCAGAAGAACCTAACGTCCCTCACTCTGAGGAAAGTGCGGGTGAAGATGATATGATCGAAGATGCTGAGGGTGGCGAAGAATATGAAGGTTCGTGTTATCTGACATGCCCTAAAGACTAACATTTTGTTTGAGACTAATGCTATATGCTGCCAATGAACAGATTTATTGGGCGACTATCCACCCGACACGGATGTAAGTTGTAGCTTTTGAGTGATGCATTCCCTTAACAGTTACCAAGACACTTTCTGTCATTTTGTAGGAGATCGAGCTTAGTCATATGCGCTTGACAGATATCCCATCATTACAACTCGATCGATTCACCGACTTGAAGGTAAAAGAGACTTTTTTCTCCCACTCATTTCAGATTGTCATCATTAGCGATTTATTTATTCGACCCTCCATTATACAGAGGCTCTGTCTCCGTCAAAATTTAATCTCAAAAATAGAAGGTCTTTCCGAGATTGTTACGTTAAATGAGTTAGATCTTTATGATAATCGGATATCATCTATTGAGAATCTCGAGTCTCTGGTCAATTTAGAGTGAGTTTAACCACATAGACTCTCATTTGGTTTTGAACGTGACGAGATTATTCAAAAGTTTTCATACAAATTTTGCTAACACGCTCTTTCATACGCTATAACCTCAAATGCTATTCCCGAAACATGCCCATATGACATGTGTTTTCATGCATGGTTTAGTTCTCTCGATCTATCCTTTAACAACATACGACACATTAAGGGCATTGGAAAGTTGACAAACTTGACAAATTTGTATTTTGTGCAAAACAAAATTTCCAAGATTGAGAACCTAGAATCTCTGACCAAGCTGACAAACTTGGAATTGGGTGCGAATCGGATTCGGGTGAGTAGAAATTGACAATCGATGGAGCAATTCGATATTGCGAACTGGCTAACGTGCTGTCGTTGATTAAAACTTTTAATATCGGGTTAGACAATTGAGAAGTTGGATACGCTTGTTAACATTGAGCAACTGTGGTTAGGAAAGAACAAAATTACCGAATTTCAGGTAATTTATTATTCAGTATATTCTTAAAACCTTGCTTGAATGATAAACGACCCCTGTTTTTATTACAACGTGTTTCTAGAATCTATCTTATCAACGCAACCTAAGGATTCTTTCGATACAAAGCAATAGGATAACAGAAATAAAAGGATTGGAGGAATTGATCAATCTTGAAGAATTGTATTTGAGTCATAATGGAGTCAGACGAATTAAAGGATTAGAAAATAATGTGAGTGGGAATTTCAAAACAACAATACTGTATACAGCGACAAGATCTTTCCTTGCGCCAAGGAAGTTTACGCTAATAATGATTTTTGCAGATAAAGTTGCGTGTATTAGATATCAGCAACAACCATGTGAGTCATGTTGAAAATATATCACATTTAGTAAACCTGGAAGAATTTTGGGTGAGTATTAAACGAAAAGTATTGATGCGTTTTAGAGAGAGAGATTCTAAGCGTCCTATATAAACTTTGATTCGCATTCTCTCCCTAATATAAGGCAAGTCACAATCAGTTTGAATCGTTTGAAGAAATAGAGACGCAGCTCGCACATCTGGAGCATCTAAACACGGTTTATTTCGAGGGAAATCCTCTGCAAAACAATAATGATGCAACGTATAGGCTAAGGCTGAAAACATTACTTCCAACACTGAAACAAATTGATGCAACGTAGGTGATATAAATTTTAATGTCGATTGGCGTGAGCGTCACAATTCTTACTTTTACCTAACTTTGCCTTTTATCGATATAGATTTGTCAGGTGATATCAAACTACAGACTAGTTAACGATGATGCAATGCCACAGTATATTCAACTAGACAATAGACGTACCCGATCAAGTCGCGCTTATTGGGTAATTGGAGAGTTTGATAGTTGTACATTACAAAATGGGGAGGCGTTTACTGGCTTTGGTTAGGATTAATAAATTAAATACAATAATAAAACAACCCGGCGATTATACCCTTTAACTTTGACAAGTCGACAATTTAACTCTAAGTCGAACCAAATGTTCGTCATAATTATACAAATACAACAGTAGTGAGAAAACCAGCCCGAAGTTTTACGATCCTGAGCAAGTCTATATAAATAAAGTGACGGGTTAGACAAATTAAAATACGCTTTGTGAGAACCAATTGTAATACTATCAAGACTCACTTTTTGGCATTGAAACACTGGACATCCATCCGGTCCGGTAGATTGACAGGCGGTCTAAAAATCGAAAAAGAGAGCGTTAAAGAGCCCAGCTCACACAAATATGACAAGCGAATAAAAAGACGTTGATTACGGCAAAATACTTACAAATGATGCTGAGCAACTAGGAATCACCACAATGCACTGTTTCGTATTCTTCTTCTTTTTATGAAGACCAAAGTACAGCCCTAGGAAAATAGTTTATTCAAAAGCAGTGAGCATGTTTGTTCGAGGTAATCATCACCCCGTATACCAATTCCGTATTCCTGTATTCCTGTCTAATTGTGGTAATCATTCAAACAACTTACCAACACCAGCACCAATGAGTATCAACACTATTAGTATTATTAGACCAATCCAGAATTTACGGTTACGGAAAATCGACTTTTTTTGCTTCTTGGGAGGAGAACTCGATGCCTCTGATTTAATTTCGCTTAACCGTTGCGGTGGGTCAACGGTTACGTTCTGCCCAGGCACCATACTGTTAGGATACGTGGTGGTGGCACCTGTAATGGGCTTATTTGATAAGTGAGGGCTATTGCTGGCGGTCGAAAGTTGAGACGATGGACTATATGGCGGAACCAAGGGCACTACATCCGGCGGCGGGGGTTCAGCCGGCGGAGGATAGTATTGATCTTGTGGAGACGGGTTAGAGGGAAATTCTGATAAATCTTGGTATAGATGACTTTGAGTTTGAAATTGCTGGATTTGAGGCTGAGCTTGAGTTTGGAATTGCTGAATTTGAGGCTGAGCTTGAGTTTGGAATTGCTGAATTTGAGGCGGCTGTAACTGTTGACTTGGAGGAGACGACGATTCCCTTTGCGACTGCTGACTTAGAGGAGATGGTTCTCTTTGAAATTGTTGACCTATAGGTGATGGTTCCCTTTGCAGCTGTTGACCTAGAGGCGTCGGTACCCTCTGAACTTGCTCTTGCTGCGATTGAAACTGGTGGCTCAGTGGTGACGGTTCTCTTTGAACGAGTGCGTCATACTGAACTGGTTGGCCAAGATACGAATCGTGACCGACAACGGGCCGTCCAAGAACTGGTTGTTCTTGAAGATGTTGGCCATAAATTGATTGAGTAGCGCTTGAAACGTTCGAGTGCCGAACTTCTTGGTGACCGCTTACTTCAAAGCTTGGTTGAGATGACGCGATTTCCTGGTTGGTCTCAGAGACCACGTTTTCCACATAACCTTGGGAGCCTGTTGCCATTGTCTCTGACCGTAAGTCCCTGTTTCTTGGAATAAAAGACGAGGTAGGGAATGAAACGTCCGTCTGCTAATGGGATGTCGTGCGAGTGATACGAATTTATTTGTTGGTATTTTGGGAATAGAGGTATAGAATTTCATGTCGATCCATATGCATTGTAATAGCTTGCTAATGTAACATGCCAAGAAGTGCTTACACATTATTATTCGAAACTGTGCAAGTATTTCAATAGTACTGACAAAGAATCGCGTATTATTCAGTGCAGCCTTTAAATGAATCGAACCTGTAAAAGTTTGTAATAGCAACTTTCCTTTGGAATGTTGGAAATACTGCTGTTTTTAAAACTTGTCCGCTTTTCACAAGAGTTTTAAAAATAGTAGTTACAATGGCGTCATTAGATAATCTTGTGATATACAATACATATTAATATCGGCTGTCGATCTTAAAATTGATATGGTGCAGGAAATCTATACTCGACAATCACATATTAGGCATCTTTAAACTCCTTCAACTTTTTACACAGATATTATTTTTAAAATCTGACTGGTACTTTTGTTCTCCACAGTAAGCTCTACAAAGTTACCGGTCAAATTTTAAAAATAATATCTGTGTAAAAAGTTATAGGGTTTTAAAATCCATAACTTTTGATCGAAATTGAAACAACGTATTAGTAGCATATAATTGGTTAAAATTGGTAGATCGAACTAAATATGGTACGGACCATTCGAATTATTTAGGCATCTTTAAACCCCTTCAACTTTTTACACAGATATTATTTTTAAAATCTGACTGGTACTTTTGTTCTTCACAGTAAGCTCTACAAAGTTACCGGTTCAATTTTAAAAATAATGTCTGTGTAAAAGTTATAGGGCTTTAAAGAACAAGAATAAGATGTAATCATATTACGATACGATACTATTGGTCAATTAAAATGGAAACAAATCACGTGATTGTCGAGTATAGACGTCTTGCACCATAGCTTTAACTATTACTATTACGGTAAAATCGTACCAATGTTGGAATATAATTAGTATTATGCATGTTTCAGAAAAAAGCACTCTGCCGTTATTTTCAATATTAATGAATGGCCTATCAATATATTAAAATCAATTATTGATATCGCATGGGTAAAGTTTAAATTCAATCTTATCACGATGAGTGCTGCCATAATACGAAAGGCAACTCTTTTAAAAGTGAAGTAATTCGCATAATTATTCTGGTGAGGTTGCGTTCAAGTGCCTTTCGACGACAATACGTTGGGTATGATAGCTGGATGTAGGATACGACGTATGAACAAATAACTTTTATTTTCTGGTCGTTATCGATCCTCATACATGGCCTTTAGTTTATTTTTCATCTACAAAAAAATATTGGTATTCAATTAGCGGTAAGACAGCTTATCTAACATTTGTTTGAAACAGACAAATAATGTTTGCTTGAGAGAGCAACGGGATATCACGTCAGTAATGCGTAAGGTAAGCTCCGCCGATCATGTTGGAAGAAACACAAACCAATACCAAAAAATAAGAGAGAATTAGCTGCAGTTCTGCAAGAGTGGGTGAAAATTGAAGAAAGTTTTTAGAAAATTTAGTGAATAGCATGCTTCAAAGAGTTAAAGCCGTGAGAATCCCATGATTAATGATGTATTAGCACTATCACTATCACGAGGATTTCAAAAATATAATTTTATTAAAAGTTTTGATACAATTTCTTAATTTAAATGTTTGATAGAATTTTGAAATATTAATACATAGATCATCAAGAGTGGTGAATACTTATATTGGCAATGTTTTCGCCGGCATTCAAGGAAGCTTCTCTCCAAGACACATAATGTTTGTTCATATTTCTTCATTAATAAATTTCAGATAATTGACATGTTCCTGAATTCTGCAAACTTGGACCTGAGGAAACAGCTTTGTACTTTATAACCATGCAAGAGATTAATGTAATCTCTTGAGCTGACTTTTCCATCTAATCGAACTAATGGCCCAAGTCCATTTTTATGAAAACAACCCTATACCATTATTCCATCTTGTTTTAATTTCTGAGTTGGAATAAGACAATCAACTTTATTATTATATCTTTCTATTGGCTGCCTCCACACCCCATCTTCGTCCATCTCCATTAAATAAGCAAAAGTATGATTTATCACTCCATATAACCTTTTCCCATTCATTCTTCCATTTGTTTCTCTCCTTTGCCCAACTCAATCTTCTTTTTCTATTTCTTTCACTCACATAAGGCTTTCTAGCACTCACTCGACCAAAGTAACCAGATTTATGGAGTTCTCTTTGAACAGTTTTTTCAGAAACAACTTTTGAAGTTGAATCTGTTAAATTATTTTTAATTTCTTGGTATAGAATTAAAATTAAGATGATAAATGTTAGTAATGAGTTGACAGTATGAAATGCTGTAATAGTAATAGAGAATTTTACCTGTAAGAATAGCTTTTCTATCCTTCTTAACAACTCTTAATAATGCACGTTTATTTCGTTCTGTCAATACTTGTGGTCTTCCTTTTCGAGGAGGAGGTTTAGCATATCCATAATCTTTATAAGTTTTTATTACTTTTTGAACTGTTGAGTAAGAGTGGTCAAGCATCTGTGCAATCTTTCTCACACTTGTACCCATATTCCAAGCACCAATAATCTGTCCACGTTGGAAGCAACTTAATTCTTTTCTCTTGGGAGTCATATTAAATTTAGTAGCAGTCTTATCAAACAAGGAGTACAAATTTCAGTGTCAGATAACTGAATAATAATGCATTGCGTTCAGTTACTTTATATAAAACTTTTTATTCAACTTGTTAGTGAACAAACGCGTATTAATAAAAGTTGTAAGCAACAACAAGGTGCGTCTAATTATTGAGAAAGACTTTGGGTTTCAGTAAGCATTTGTTGATATCTAATTACAGACACCGAAATTTAGAAAAATTTTACGTTTCGAGTTATTATTCAATGAAATCTGGACCAAATAATCTGAAAAAATATATTTACATATTTTGAAAGATAAGAAATGTTTTTACTTAGGAACACAAGATATAGTTACTATCGGTATTTTTAAGTTGTATCAGAACGAAAGTTTTTCGATAATTTTCTCGAAATCTTTGTCTTCAGCGTAAACAGTCATGCATCGCCCAGCATTGTTGCAATATTGATGAAAGTTGTAAATAACACGCTCACAGTCATGTCAAACAAGTTTACTTATTACACCAAGTCCAGTTGTATTAGTAAAACATTTACTTTACATATGAGCAACTATTAGCGGTTGATCAGCGAAATTTCGTAGTGACCACTCACTTTTGTCCGGGTACTGTAGTTCGAATCATCCTTTCTTAGACTCATTATCATTCGTCACAAGACAGCCCGTAAGAGATAATTCAGAGTGGTTACATTAAGTGTTCGTCTTATAAATAGCATAGCAAATGAGAAATCCAGGTTTTTAATCTTTAACATCGCGTTCAATAGAATATGAGCTTATGCGTTACTACGTCGGGCATCTGCTCATGTGATGATATCATCTCATAAACTACAGGACAAATATGATGACCTTCACATTCCCCTCTTGACATAAATCTTTGATCCAAGCATTTCATACAATAATGTGGCAAGGCGAACTATCTCCTTCGGCAGTAGCTTCACGTATTTGACAAACACAGGTCAAGCCGATCACAATTAAGTACTCTTTCATCAAGCATGAAACTAAAATAGTTGATCACGATAATACTTGCACCAATTTCTAAAGCCTCCGTGTCATCCATCTTGTCGCGCAAAAATGGGTGTAGTGCATTAAATGCCTACAAACATATAGCTACGTTGAGTATTATTAACATCGACGAGAATTATAAATTCTTTAAACGGTTGATATAACGTAACCAGTGTTTCGGAGACAAACCGCTGACAATCTTCTTAAGAGCTTTTAGAAAGAGCCTTTGATTCGGTAAACATTGATCTTTTTGTTTGAACGGCTTTGACTGGAACAGGAATTGGTGTCCACGCAATGGTTTCCCTCTGTAAACAGCGTTCTCGCTTGTTGTAGATAGAAGAGTGTGCCGACTACAGACGTATGAAATTGTCATCGCAAAGTGTTAATACTCCAGATCTTGAAGTCGATTCACCATCCCCACAAGATGCAATCACGAATGTGAGGTTGAATCCACCTGCTTTATATACTCAGGTACTTTGTCGTACCAATATTTCGATGTGAAACGGAAATAACAGCCATAATGAGTTAATGTTAACAAGCTAAATATGTAACAAAGAGCTTCAAAAAGTTTGGGCGGACCGCTTGAAAAAAAAAGCCAATCGAGAACGCGCATCTTTTATAAGAGCAACGTCTAAAGATATTAGTGGACACGGCACTTTAGAAAGATAAGTCATACTTAAGGCGACGTCATATTTGCATGAATTATAAACATTCTAGGGCATGTCTAAAGCAGCCAATAAAACTGCAAATGCAAGATCACGTCCTGCCGTTACAGTAATAACTTTATGTCAATTAGTATTAATTTTACTATACAGATAGTTTAACTGACACGTTAATCAAATTTTTATGACCATTATTCAATGCTTCGTAAAATCGCATGGTATTTCTTCTGGTTCGCGCCTTCCAAGATAGAATAATTTTAGCACCCACCACCCACTTCGAGAACCCCTCCACTGTTCTCGGTATCTCCACATGCTGTAAATCCATGTGATGATGGTGTCTTCAAATAAGTATTTCGATGCTGAAATTCTGAGGCGAAATCCATTGGATTGTAGGGTATACGTTTCAATGCTTGTGATGTTGCCTTTGGTGGCTGAAGGTAATGCAAAGAACAAGGGGTGTGAGGATAATTTTAGAACAGTACTCGAGTTTCTGGAGGTCCCCTGTCCTTTTGCTGTAAGTGTTTAAAGTACCGTCCTCCTGGGCTAAAATCTCTGTCCCTAAAGATTTAAGAAAACCCTTCCCGTCTAGCTTTGGACC